CCTTCTTTGTCTGTTTTTACTATTGTTGCTTTAAAGTCTGTTTTATCTGATATAAGAATAGCTACTCCCACTTGCTTTTGGTTTCCATTTGCATGGAATATCTTTTTCCACCACTTTTCCATGGTTTTATGTGAATCCTTATGTTTTAGGTGAGTCTCTAGAACACAGCAGATATTTTGTGGTTTGTGATTTTTTTTTTTAAATCCATTCTGCCAATCTATCTTTTAAGTGGAGTATTTAGGCCATTTATGTTCAACGCTCATATTGAGATGTGAGGTACTGTTCCAGTCCTCATGTTAATTTTCACCTAGATACTTTGTTTTCTTCATTGTGCTATTGTTTTATAGGCCCTTTCAAAAGGTTCTACTCTGGTGCATATTGACCTTTTGTTTCAGAATTTAGAACTCCTTGTAGCATTTCTTGTAGGGCTGGCCTGGTACTGACAAATACCCTCAGCATTTGTTTGTCTGAAAATGACTTTATTTCTCCTTCATTTATAAAACTTAGTTTTTCTGGATAAAAAAATTCTTAACTGACAGTCAGTTACTCTTTTTAAGGAGGCTAAAGATAGGACCCTAATCCCTTCTGGTTTGTAAGATTTCTGCAGAAAAGTCTGCTGTTAGTCTGATAGGGTTTTGTTGTTATTGTTGTTGTTTTTTAATAGTTTACCTGATATTTTTGTCTCAGTGCTCTCAGAATTATTTCCTTCACATTGACTTTAGATAGCCTGATGACTATAGGTGTTGGTGAAGTCTTTTTTGTGATGATTCTCCCAGGAGTTCTTTGAGCTTCTTGTATTTGGATATCTAAATCTCTAGCAAGCCCAGGGAAGTTTTCCTCAATTATTCCCTCAAATGATTCTTCCAGACTTTTCATTTACTCTTCTCCCTCAGAACACCAGTTATTCTTAGATTTGGCCATTCTACATAATTCCATGTTTCTTGGAGATTTTGCTCATTTCTTTTTCTTTTTGTCTAGATTAATTCAAAAGCCTTGTCTTGTAGCTCTAAATTTTTTTCTTCTACTTGTTCTAGTCTGTTAGAACTTTCCACTGCATTTTGTCGTTCCCTAAATGTGACTTTCATTTCCAGCAGTTCTGATTTTTTTAATATATTTCTTTAAAAAAATTTTTATTCATATCCTGAGTTTTTAAATTTCCTTATGTTGGTTTTCCCCTTCCTCTGGTATCTCCTTGAGTAGCTTAATAATAAAAATTTTGAATTCTTTATCTGCTACTTCAAAGATTTCATTTGAGTTTAGATCCATTGCTGAAGAGCTGGTGTGATCTTTTGGGGATGTTACAGAACTTTGTTTTGTCATATTGCCAGGATTATTTTTCTGGTTCCTTCTCATTTGGTTGGACTATTTATTCTAATTATTCTTGAATTTATTTTTGGTTTGATTTTTTTTTTTAATTTCTTTTTTCTCCCTTAAGGATGTGACTTTAATGTTTACAGTTTTTACAGCCTAACGTGGCTCTTGGTGCCTTCAAAGGTGAAGACTCTGTATAAGTTCCTTGGTTATAGAGAGTCTTGGTATGATGGCTTTGCCAAATGACAACATAAGTTTAAATAGCTGCAAAAGATGAAACTTCCTCCCCATCCTACATATTGACGTTTTAAAATAAAATTTTCAATAAAACCAGTGAATACTGGGAATGCTTTAGCAAATTGATGCCTGCCATGATCTTTAAATAAATATGCAAATCAGCTCTTCTTTGATAATTTATTTCATTTCTTTTTCTTTTTGAACTCTCATTTCCACTCCACTTCCTCCATAGACTTTTTCCCTGCTTTAATATATTTTATGTTTGAAAGCAGTTTATTGATCACTCTATTATACTTCTTTGCAATTATTTTAGTATATTAATTGAAATCAATTTTTAAACGTGTTATATGACCCTAAGTATTGAGTTATCACAATTACTTTAGGATACAATTGCTCAAAGCAATAAATACCTTATACATATTCATAATTAGGAAATACAAAAAGGAAATTTTTTGCAACTGCATCTTAATGAGATAAATGTGGCTGTTTTGTTTTCAATTAGTTCATATATCTTGTTTTGAGTGTTATTTTTAGACTGAAACTGTACTCGGCATCGATTTTTTTCTGTTTCTCTCTTTTTTCAATTTATAGATTCTAATGTTAAGAAACCTTGTTCATATATATATAGATATATATATATACACATTAGTCGATGCAAAAAAAGGAGTTTTAATATAGTATAGTGTTATATCCAAGTAACTTATACATTTAGCCACACATTTTATTGTATTATATCCAAAAATAATAGAATAAAATGTGTAGCTAAATGTATGTGTTGTTTGTGAAGAGTATAATAAAAGCATGATGTTTCTTAAATATATGCTAATGTGTATAGAATTCTGCTGCTTTCCTTTGGGAATAATTAAATAATAATCATGTATAAAAACAGAAACAATTTCATTAATTTCATCAGACAGCAAATCAAATATTTACTAGTATTCAATGAGAGAAAGTTACATATAGTGAAAATTGGTCTGGCAGGTTAGCTTATACTTTCATTTGTTGTTAAATATTTTACAACATAAAACAAAATGAAAATTGGCTGTATTCAAATACATATTTTGTAACATGATTGGGTTCCGAATAAAGTTTAAATACTTTATTGAGTAATTAATACAAAATCTGAAAAAAAAATACAAGATTCCTATTCATTAGTTTTATCCAGTGAATCTTTAACAATTCTGGGCTGCATGTGGTGGCTCATGCCTGTAATCCCAGCACTGTGGAAGGCTGCAGCAGGTTGATCACCTAAAGTCAGGAGTTCAAGAGCAGCCTGACCCCAATATGGTGAAACCCCATCTCTACTAGAAATACAAAAATTAGCCTGGTGTGGTGGCATGTGCCCATTGTCCCAGCTACTCGGGAGGCTCAGACAGGAGAACCGGGAAGTGGAGGTTGCTCCAGCCTGGGTGACAGAGGGAGAATCTGTCTCACAAAAAAAAAAAAAAAAAAAAAAAAAAAAAATGGGGAAAGATTCTGGTTATTAAAGTAATCAGCATGACCAACCCCTGCTGCCTCACCACCTCAGAGTTGCTTTTCTTTTTTTCTTTTTCTTTTTTTTTTTTGAGACGGAGTTTCACTCTTGTTACCCAGGCTGGAGTGCAATGGCACGATCTTGGCTCACTGCAAACTCCGCATCTTGGGTTCAAGCAATTCTCCTGCCTCAGCCTCCCGAGTAGCTGAGACTACAGGTGCGCGCCACCATGCCCAGCTAATTTTTGTATTTTTAGCAGAGACGGGGTTTCACATTGTTAACCAGGATGGTCTTGATCTCTTGACCTCGTGATCCACCCACCTCAGCCTCCCAAAGTGCTGGGATTATAGGCGTGAACCACTGTGCCCGGCTGAAAATGGATTCTTTTACTGTTTTGGGGGCTAAGTGTGCTGACTCACAGCTGTAATCCCAGTCTGTAGCATGTGCCTGTAGTCCCAGCTATTTGGGAGGTTGAGGTGGGAGGAATGCTTGAGGCTGGAAGTTCAAGACCAGCCTGGGCAACATACTGAGACCCCATCTCAAAAAATAATAATAAAGAATAAGTCAGCTGGACATAGTGGTACATGCCTGCAAGTCCTAGCTACTTGGGATGCTGAGGTGGGAGGATAGATTGTGTCCAGCAGTTTGAAGCTGCAGTGAGCTATGATGGTACCATTGCACTCCAGCCCAGGCAACAGAGGCAACAGAGCAAGACTCTGTCTCAAAAAGAAAAAAAAAAAAAACCTATCTGAGCGGTGTCCCCTCCCTTTGGAAAATCTCCAGTTTATATCTGAATGACGACAGAACGATCATCTAGAAGTTTGTTTCCAAATTCCCAGAGATTTGTTTCTTACAGAGATAATCTCAATATACCCATCCTTCTTTTTTAAAAAAGTAAAAATTAAATATTTCAAACATACACAAAGGAACATACAACAAATCCCCCACTATGACCCAGTGACAGCGATCATCACTGGTTAGATACTGCTATCTGTACTCTCCACTATCCTTCCCACCGAAGCAAATCGCAGGCATTGTACCATTTCAGTCCTAAAGATTTTGTATGTATCTCTAAAAGATAAGGATGTTTTAAAAAATAATACTATTATCTCACCTTTAAGAAAACCAATTCCTTAATATCAAATAGCCAATCAGCAATCAAGTCTCTTCAATTGTCTCATAATTTTTTTTAAAAAGGCAGTGGTTTGAAATTGAATCCAAAAAAGGTCCACACATTTGGTTTGGTTATTTGTCTCTTACCTCATTTAATCTTAAAAAAAGGGGAAGAGAGAATTTTTTTTTTCTAACAAAATCTTTGTTGAAGAAACAGAATGATTGTTCTGGGATTTTTTTTTTTAATCTTCATATAGCCATTTAAATAATTTCTCTTTTCATGTATTTCCTATAATCAACAGTCTAAAGACTTCATCTGATTCAAGTTTTGCATTTTGGCAAAGATACTTAATAAGTGGCGATGCAGGCACTCACTCAGAAGCTCCCGGTATCTGGTGGTCCTCTTTTGGGGCTGTGAGTGGACACCTCTGGTCATTGCCTAGATTGGTAATTTCATTAGGGGTTTGAAACTAGTGATATTTTAATTCTTATATTTCTATCCTTGTGACTAAGGGAAATCAAATGGAAGATTTCTATATGAGAGAAGCTTTTCTTCCCCAACTATTTGGTTATACTGAAGTGCCATTTATACTGGAGAGTGCTCAGCTCTTTAAAAAAATTAATACATTTCAGATTGTTATGTTTTTACACTTTATTTTAGGCCTCTGTACTTTTGTTAAAAGCCATCCTAATATACAAGATTGTTTTCCTTCAAGGAAAACCTGAAATTAAATTATTTCTGGCATCAACTCTTCTGCCACTCAATCTTTTTAAAAATGTAAAAAGAAAATGATTTGACATGCGTACGTTCCTGAGATTTGGCATTTAACCTTCAACTCTAATTTCTGCTGGGTTTGTTTTGTAGCCAAAACGGTATCAGAAGATTAGGATATACATATTCACTTAGCGATCCTATTCTCAATCAGACACAATATAATGATGAGTACACTTGGAAATCATACTCTAAAGAAGATTTGATCAAAACTGAGACTTCAAGAGGAATCAAGAGCCAAAAAACTCATCTCAATGAAGTAAGATAATATCTACATATGTGTTGAATTTAATGCTGTATCAACAACCCATGAGAGTTTATGTCACAAAGATCTTTCAGCTTCTACAGTCACAGGATATGTGGTTCTTTTTAGACTATTTCCTATCTATCTTCTCACATTTATTTCTAATCACTTATGTTCTATCCCCTAGAGTTGTTTTTTTTTTTTTAAAGACTTGTAAAAAATTGAAATGAGGCTGGGTGCAGTGGCTCACCCCTGTAATCTCAGCACTTTGGGAGACAGAGGTGGGTGGATCATCTGAGGTCGGGAGTTAGTGACCAGCCTGGACAACATGGTGAAACCCCATCTCTACTAAACATGCAAAAATTAGCCGGGTGTGGTGGCTACACACACAGGATTACACACCTATAATCCCAGCTACTCAGGAAGCTGAGGCAGGAGAATTGCTTGAGCCCGGGAGGTGGATGTTGCAGTGAGCTGAGATCATGCCTCTGCACTCCAGCTTGGACCACAGAGCAAGACTCTGTCTCAAAAAAAAAAAAAAAAAAAAAAAATCAGGTGAAATTTACATAATATAAAATTAATCTTTTAAAGTGAACAATTAAGTGGCGTTTAGTACATATATGCTGTTGTGCAGCCATCCCCTCTATTTTTGTTCCAAAACATTTTCATCATCCCAGTAGGAAACCTTCTACCCATTAGTGATTACTCCCCACCGTCTGTGTCTACCTCTGTGGACTACCTGTTGTGGATATTTTAAATGCGGAATCAACAACAGGTGACCCTTGGTGCCTGGCTTCTTTTCACTTAGCATAATGTTTTCAAGGTTCATCGTCTAAGAAATTATCTGACTAGAAAGATGACAGGAAAAGCACTATTATGAAGAGTACCCATGTAGCATCCATGTAGCAAATACCGGTACCTGCAATTCTTTGTCACAGTTGACTAGTGTTCTCTCCCATGGATAGACCACGGTTTGTCCAGGCATCCGTCAATGCATCTTTGGGTTGTTTCCACTTTTTGACTATTGTGAATTGTGCTGCTATGAACAGCCATGTACAAGTACTTGTGCTTAGCCTTGTGTTCTGTGTACTCTCAAACCTCCATTTTGTAAATCATTCTGTTGCCTCTACCTAGAATGCCCCTATCCTGTGCACTAAGGGAACCCCTGTATTTCTTCAAGGTTCAAATTAAAGAAAGCTACCTCTAAGTCCCTTCTCCCCTAGATGGAAATAACTCATTCTCCCTATGGGTTCTCTTGGCTTTCTATGCCCTTCTCCCATCACAAAAGGTAATGTTCGGTTGTAGTGAAGGGTTTCATTACCTGACTGCCACCTGGGATGGGGTCACTCGGGATGGAGCCACCTTGATGCATTCAATAGACGATAAGGTGGTAGAACGGACAGGATGTGATGACTAAAAGGATGTGAAGGATAAGGAAGAGGAAAGTAGAATGTTCAACTTCTGACTTGGACAGCCGGGTGTATGCAGATGTTGTTTACTGGGCTGAAACATGGGGGGACTAGGTTGGGTGGGGAGGGGCATTGGGGGAACAATGTAGTTTTAGTTGAAGACATGTTGGTTGGTTCCCAACAGGCAGTTGAACAGACAGGTCTGGAGCTCGTGGGGGAAAGATGAGCTGGACATATGGACTTGGGAGTCATTAGAATGTACACATATAGCCAATTCCATTTGGTTCCTTGTGACACCCATTCATTATAAACTGTTCAACCCTGAAATACAGATAGATAGATAGATAGATAGATAGATAGATAGATAGATAGATAGATAGATAGATTTATTCATACACACACACACACACATATATTATGTGTCTCCTGGAGATATACACATAAAACTCCTGTCTCTAAAAAATACATATATATATTATATATTTAATAAATCATTTATATATAACATATAAATATGTCTCTAACATGTATTATTAAATGTAATTATATGTATTAGAGACAAGATCTTGCTTTGTTGCACAGGGTGAAGTGCAGTGGCACAATCAGATTTCACTACAGCCTTGAACTCTTGAACTCAAGTGATCCTCCCACCTCAGCCTCCAGAGTAGCTGGAAGTACATGTGCATGCTCCCACACCCAGCTCATTTTTTATTTTTTGTAGAGGTGGGGCCTCAGTCTGTTTCCCAGGCTGGTCTCAAACTCCTGGGTTCAAGCAATCTTCCCACCTTGGCCTTCCAAAGCGCTGGGATTACAGCCACAAGACACTGTGCTTGGTCATCCTTAATATTTTTAAATTAATGTAAAAGAGTTGATTACGATACTATATTGTATGTATACAATATTATACTGTATGTGTACATCCACAAACACATGACCATATAATCTTCCCTTCCTCTAAGTGCTTGAGAAGGCTCTCAACCAATGAGAGCTAGTGTGGCCAACTGTCTTGTTCTCAGCCAATGACAGCTAGTGTGGCAGACTGTCCTGTGTGTTCTCAGCCAATGAGTGTTCACAAAGCAGACAGCAGCCTCAGTTAATCCAGGCATTGAGTATCAGCAGCTGCTAACATTACACAAGAAAAACAATCATATATTATCTGCTTCCTACAGAAACATCATTTATTCAGGGGTGTCTACTCTTTTGGCTTCTCTGGGCTAAATGGAAGAATAATAATTGGTTTGGGCCACACATAAAATACATTAACACTAATGATAGCTGATGAGTTTTAAAAAAAAGAAATTAGCAAAAAATAATCTGCTAGTGTTTTAAGAAAGTTTATGAATTTGTGTTGGGCCACATTCAAAGCCGTCCTGGCGGGGGCCTTGGGTTGGACAAGTTTGGCTTCTAGTTTAGTGAGTTTGAGCTTCTGGATCCACCCGCCAATTTGTAGGAAATACAGGGGACACAGGAACTTGTTAAACAATAAATGAGTATGCGATCAGCAAAATCCGGACTGTGGGGACCTCACCGCTGCACATCTAATGGCTTCTTCAGTAGATAAATTATACTTTTATCTATTGGTTTTTCCAGTTGATAAATTCTGAGGGAAAGAAGGGAATCAGGAGGGAACTTGAAAACTATAAGAGATTTAAAAGACACATTTGGGACAGTGAGTATACCTATTTTGAAGAATTTGGTGCAAAGGAGAATGGAGGAATAGCTTGGTAACTAGAAGGGAAAGTGGAGTGAAGAGAGTGTTTTCTCTTTTTTAAGATAGGAGAAATAAACGCATGCTTGGACATTGATAGCAATGACCCAGCAGAGAGGGAGAGATTCAGGTTGCAAGAGTGAAGCGAGGATTGTTGGACGATTTGTTGGAGTGGACTCAGTAGAGAGGGATCTAGGGCTGCAGGTGGGGCTGGGCCTTGGGAGGAGCACTTGCCGGCTCCCCTCCAGCACAGCAGGTGCCAGTTGCTGGGACATGGTTGCTGGGCTGTGGAGGTTCTTCTCTGGTGGCTTCAGTTTTCTCAGGGAAATGGGAAGCAAGATCATGGGAAAGAGGGATGTTGGCAAGAGAAGGTGGAGGTTTCAAGTTTTCTCATCCTAAAATCTCTCTGGAGAAGAGAAGAGAGGGCCTGTCCTTTGCTGTCCTTCAGGAAGTTGCTGAGGCCTCTGCATGTGAGCTGGTTTTCCTCAGGGGCTCCCAACGGGAAAGCAGCCACTGCCTGCACTCCTTGGGAATGTCTGGCCAGAACTAGCATTGACATGGGGTTTCTCTTCCCCTGGTCTTATCTGTAGGAGACTTCTGGTTGGAAGCACAACTTGTGGAAGTTTTCAATCTCATTCTCTCATTTTCAGTGTGAAAAGTCAAAGCAATGCATGGAACCTCTGTTTCGGCCAGGTCAGCGAATGGCTCCTGTTGACCTGCTCTCTGCATCCGTGCACCTGCGTGGCAGCTGGGTCTAAAGGATTCTGAAGAATATGTGCACACAGACACTCAGATTATTGATCCTCTTAGGTGAACCCATATGGATTTTCTTGAAAATTGTGTTTTCATTGATAGGACATTTTCCTGTGGACACTACCTCACTGTCAACAAGAGAGGACACTAAGGAACTGCCCCCCTTGGAAAATCCCTGCTTCAATGAAAGAAGTTAACCAGGCACTATCAAATCAGTTTATTTCCCTTACTAAGAGAGACTTTGTGGACAGAGAGAAAGGTAAACATGGTTTTTTGTGGGGTTTTTGTTTGTTTTTTTTCCCCGGGGTCATGTGGTAGGCACTGAAGCTGCAGTGGTCAGCAGCATGGGTCTGATCTTCTCCCTCAAGGAACTCAAAGTCTAGGCAACTTTGCAAGTAAAAACCATCAAGTATAAAAAGGTGCACCTTGTGGAAAATGCAGGTAGCTGCAGGCATACGGGAGGACATCCAGCCGAGTGTGGGGTGGGGATTAGGAAAGCCTTCGCTGCCTGGCCCAAAGGATGAAGAGGAATCAGGCAGACGGAGAGGTTGTAGAGAGTGCTGCTGCAGGATTGAAGGCCTGGAGGAACATTTTAGGAACTGGAAGAGCTTTGCCAAGAGTAAAGCAGTAAAGGGCAAAGGGAGAGTTAAGGGAGGAGACCAGCATGGCCAGAGAGCACCCAGTCTGGAAGGGCCCTGCAGGGCATACTAAAGAGTTTGAAGTTTATTCCAGAAGCAATTAAGAGGTTTTATTAAGGTAGTGACACAATTCCGATGTTGGCTTTTAGAAGCCTCACACTGGCTGCGGAGTGAAGAACGGAGGTGGCTCTTCAGGAGGAATCGGGGAGGAGGAGGCTGTCAGAGCAGCGCAGAGAGGAGTGAGGTGGCTGGACACAGGGCTGGGGCAGTGCAGGCAGAGGCAGGATCTGCAAGGTGGTGGCATGGGCACTTCAGTCAGCAAATGAGCCACTTCCAGGGCAGGGGCTGTGGCTCTTTGGCTCACATTGTGCCACCAGCTCCCATCCCAGTGCCTGGCTTATCACAGGTGATGAAAATAAAAATTGGTTGAACAAAAGAATGAATGATAGGGATGAGTGACTGACAGACGTCAGGGATAAGGGAGTAACGGGAGTCTGCTGCCTTCTTAGATAAGTAGAAATCATGAGAAGGTGAAGTGAGAGCCATTTTATTCTCTCACTTGTTAGAGGTGAGAAGTCCAGCATGCTGTTCGTCCTGCTTCCTGGAAGAGCACATGTGTCCTGGGATGGGAACTCTGCTGTGCAGATTCCCCTGTGAGAATCTAGATTCTCTCTTCTTCACTTGGCTCTGCCCTTAGGGCTCTGTGGCTGAGAATACCTTTGACTGGTCTTCTGTAGGGTAGGTGGAGATGACATCATAGCTCACATGTCTCAGGGCATCAAAAATGAATTCCATCTATACCAACACATTTTCCAGAAATGACATATTTGGTGATTGGATGCCATTTTGTTCTTTCTTATCACCGGGAAATTTACTTTATTGAGAATTCATGAAAATTGATTATATTCTTAAACTCAGGGAAGGAAACCTCTCTTTAAGTCACTGGGAAAACGACACACTCCGGTGCACAGCCCCAAGCCCTGTGACAAAATGGCAGTTGGAGTACTGGTGTTCTCCTGCCTTTGGTGAAAAAATAATGACACCCAACGACAGCTGAGGAAGGCTGGCTGACCTGTAGGCTCTGAACACAAGCCAGGGAGTGCAGAGGGCCCCTGTTCACCCAATAGGAGAATGACGCATCTCTCAAGGCCTGTGTGTCTCCACCTTCATTCTACATCCCCCTTCCTGCCCCAACAGAACCATCAATCCCTGTGAGCTGTGCATCTGTCTCCCCACCCCCTGAACGAGAACTTTACCTTTCCAGTTCTCTGGCTGTTCTCCAGCATCATCCCTCCATGTCTAAAGCATTAATCCCATCCCACCGGCATGCACCTTGACTCCAGTATATCCCATCCAGCATGTTCCAAATGAAAACAAAAACCGAGCTTCCCCTCAACCCCATCTCTTCTTTTAGCTCCTGTTTATTTCTCCGCTTCCCTTTACAAACAGCCAACATTTACTAAGCCCCTGGCTTTTCATACGTGAGCACATTTAACCTTCACAACCTTTGAAGTTATCACCTCCAATCAAAGAGGAGGATCTAAAACTCGGTGTGGTTGAGTACCAGGGAGCCACTTGGTATCCAAGTTTTCAGCCAAGCGTCTGTGTTCAGCCCTGAGCCTGTCTCCCTGTCTTCCACTGTACCTGTTACGCTTGAGCCTGCAGGTCTTCTGTACTGCGGGTTACACAGTTCCCTTCTTTGCTGATCCCCTCTCACATCATCCAGGCTTCAGCTGCCTCTACTTTGCTCATTCAGTTGCCACATCTACATTTGCTTCCCATTTTCTAAAAATGTGTTAACATTTCAAATCTGTGATCATTCTGATGGAGTTTGGGGACAGAGGATCCTAAATGCGTGGATACAATCCACTGAGTTTAATGGGAAGCATTGCTAATCCTCTGACTTTTCAACCCCTTCCAACCTTGTGTCTGCCCCCACCATTCACTGAACTGCTCCTTTCAAGGTCTGCAGTGACCTTCAATGGAGACTTTTCCATTTGCGTCTTACCCCACCTTTGAGCATCGTTAACTGTGGTTTCTGCTCTCTCTCAAACCCCTGTTCTCCTTGCACTTCTGCGTTGTCATACACTCCTGTTTTCCCCCTATTTCTTTGATCCTTCTCTTTGGTCATTTTTCTGTTTGGCTCTAACTATCAGCGTTTCTGATTCCTCTGTAGAACAACTATCCTGAGGACCTCCACATTTGTATCTCTCCTCAAACGTCTCTTGAGATCCTCCGTTTCCTGTATTGAGTGCTGAGTAAAAGCCGTGTGAGCATTCCAACTCATCTCCTTCCCCTGCAGCCGATCTTCCTGCATAATCCAGAGGTTCCCTCCAATTCTGTTGCCACATGGCAGCTAGAGGAGCCTTCGCAGTGAGCTTTTCCAGTTTTGTTCCCTCTAACCCACGGTCCATGAGACAGCCATAGTGAGTCTCCAGATGTGCAAACTGATGTCACTTTATGGCTTAAACCCCTTCAGTGAATTTTTGTTGTCCTCAGGATAAAAGCTAAATGCCTTACACAAGTCTTGCACAATCTGGTCCTGGGTGCCACGCCGCCTCCTCCCTTGTCAGCCCCCACCCTCATGGCCTTTCCAGCCATCCCGACTCACACCCTCCACATACCTCCACCCCTCATGGCCTCGTGCAGGCTGCACGCATTGCTTCCTCCCTGTGGAGCACGTCTCCCTTCCTTCTCTTGCCTGTGTCTATGCAGAATTTAAGTCCAGTTGTAGGCCTCGCCTCTCTCCTGGAAGCCTTCCCTGATCCCCCACCTTTGGGTTGCTGGCCTTCCCGTGTGTTTTAACAGCCCTGGTTCTTACTTCTTTTGTAAGACTAATGATATTGTAATAATCTAAGCTTCTGAAGCACAAGGGCCGTGCCTTAGCTTTTTATACTCATTGTGGAATTAAGGTAAACAACTGAGAAGCACTGAAAGGTGCTTCTTTGCACATTCAGGCTTAGAGAACGTGGGTCTGATGTATCAGAACAGCTGAAAAAGACTGTAGCACTAGTTCCCACTTGGCTACAGGTCATGTGCCGATGACTCTCATGGTTTTGAATGGTCCTTGCTGGAGATTTACTTTTGGATTGGGCATTTCTGCAGGTCCCGTAAATGGGCCAGTTTTTTTCTTTGGGCTAAACCACTCCAGTTTTACTCCAGTGGAAAAGAAACCCGGGGAGCTGAGCTCCTGGGGAATAGGACCACTGGAGAGGCGTCACTGGGTGAGGTCAGTTCTAACTCATGGTTATTATTTCTCTCCATGCTTCAGCACAACTATGGGGGTTTTAGGTGTTGCTTAGGTCCCTTTTTATCAGGAACCTCTCTTCCAAATAATGCGTGAAGCTCATTAACACATTTTATAAAGATAACAAAAGCATCCGTTTAAAAGAACTAAGCCCATGCTACGGAATGAGCAATATGTAATTTACTAGGAGTTACCTTAAGCATGGATTGGTCACACAGGCAGTCACGAGAGTGTAGTGCAGATATTAATTGCTAATCCATAGCAATTATGCTTCCAGGTTTTTTGATGTGTGCGTTTACTCATTAATTTAGTAAATATTTAATGAGTTCTAGTACTGTGAAAAGTGCTGAGGGTCAATGACGAGTGAGAATCTGTATTCTGAGTACCTCTTCCCAGGCGATCCTGATGGCTTATCTCCATGTGAGATCTACAGTTCCAACTGATATGGCTGCAGGACTCACCATATTCCCTGTTCGTCCTGTAGATATCTAAGTCTAGGTCCTTGTTTTTGCCTTTTCTGGGTCTTCGTCTCCAATGATTGCTGGTCCATCGTTGTTCATGTGGAACGGATGTCCCGGACCCTTCACAGCCTGGCTCCAGCTTGCCTCTCCTGTGGCACCCTCAGCTCCTCCGCCTTGCCCTGCATGCCCCAGCCTTCTGCGAGTCAGGCCATGTTTCACGAACACACTACACACTTTTCGTTTCCTTGTTGACCCATTGTCAAAGCTCCTTACTCTGACTGCCTTTTAGTCTTTGTCTTCCTCCTCTTCCTCCATCACAGCCCCTCATACTCTCTGGGCTCCTATAGAACCTTATTCGAAGCTTTGAGTCAGTAATTCTTAAGCACATGGGTGGTTTGTTTTCACAGCATAGCGGCCTGGGGCCTCACTTCTAGAGGTTCTCAGTGTCTGGGGTGATGGTAAGCAGATGTATTCTGAGAGACGCTTCCCAGGTGATTCTGATGTCTTATTTCCGTGTGAGATCCGCAGCTCCAAATGTGGATTGCAAGACTTACCACATTCCCTACCTGTTTGTTCTGTGGATATCTTTAGAATCACACTAATTGTCTTAAGACAGAACAATGACTTAATTATGTAAAACCTTGTCATATAGCACAGAACTGGTACAGGGACTGAAAGCATTTACTATTGAATGGTAGCTCTAGGGAAGAGATACAGGTAAAAGCATCAAGTATTTCAATGGAAATTTGTTTTTGTCTATAAAGCTCTTGGTAAATAATAAAAGCGAAGCGTCTCCGTCTGTTTTGTGCAGCTTTGACAGAATGTGTGAGACTGGGTCATCTGTGATGAAATACATTTATCTGATTCCTGGTTCTGGAGGCTGGGAAGCCGAGAGCATAGTACTGGCACCTTGCAAGAGTCTTCTTGTAGCATCATCCCATGGTGGAAAATGGAAGGACAAGAGCGTGAAAGTGAGAGAGAGAGAGAGGAAGCCAGACTCACCCTTTTATCAGGAGCCCACTCTTGAAATAACTAACCCACTCCCACAATAACAGCATTAATCCACTCATAAGGGCGGAGTGCCCATGACCCAAACACCTCCCAGTAGGCCCCACCTCCCAACATTGTTGCAATAGGGATTAAGTTTGCTTTTGCAGGGACACATTCGAATCATAGCACTAAGTTACAGATGGAAGTTACAGGGACAGTGCCAGATGGTTTTCCAAATATCTTAAGGGGTGCCCTGATTTTGAGCCCCACAAACTCCTCCCCTCTATAACCTGTCTTCTGTATCGGCAGTTTATGAGGTCATTACAAGGGCTACTGAATACCCATGTCCTCTCTTCCTGAGTTTTCTAAAGTAAGAGGCAACATGTACTAGAACCTTCTCCTCCTCTGCTGGTCTAAACAGAAATCATTTTTAAAAATTGATATAAAAATGCTCTCAGAGGCCAGTAGATGCAATTATATATCCTTTGATATAAAATCTATACCAGTAGGTACCACTATAAATGGTTTGATACGCAATGTGTATTAGGATTTATTTTGAAAATATCTATTGGAAAACTAATCTGGAAGATAATTGAGTTCAGTGTCGATTGTAATTTCCGCTGTTTGGACATTGCTCATGAAACCCATGTTTTTGACATCTTTGTCCTTCTGAATAAAGATGGTGTTATATGATATGCCTCTGAACTACGGCTTGTAGCAAGAATCAGGAACGAACTCATTCTAAGTGAGATGGATTGTGACTCTTGCCTCTGTAAATCTGATAATGTTTGCAACACTGGCTTCGGTGCTTCATAGATATTTAATGAATATGTTTTAGCAGAGATATTTCAAAGAAGTAATAGTGGTACTATCCACTAATGCCAGCAATGTTATCTAACCATCCATCAGTAAGGGATAAGTTTCCAGTGTTTTTTTTATTATTTTCTATTTTCTCCCAGGTAATGGGGATGATATACACCACCCCATCTAAGGCTACCAGATTAAGCAAATAAAACTATGGCACACCCAGTTAAATTTGAATAATGATATATAGTAGGTAGAAAGTATTTACACTAAAAAATCATTATTCATCTGAAATTCAAATTTCACTGGACATCTCATGTTTTATAAAATGGCAACCCTGGCCCTATCCAAAAATCTCTTTGATACCCCTCCTCTGCCCCAGGAACTAGACAGACCTAGTGGAGTGATCAGTGTCTTCTGTGCCCGCTGAGCAGACTCCTGACTTAAAAATATATTCACTAGAAACTACTTCTGATCATTTGAGCATATACTTCCTGTGACTGGTAAAGAAAATTATTTCTTCATCGAAGTGTTCATTCATTTGCGCGCATACCTCCTGTGACTGATAAAATTATTTCTTCATTGAGGCGTTCACACAGAGCACATTGACTGGACCTCTAAATACAGCAAGAGTGGGTTTTTAGTGTGATAAATTGGAAGCTCCTGCCAGAGGCAAGGTGGGATGTGGAGCTGCTTAGAAATGGCCCACAAGGAGTAAGTCTTGCCTTCCATTTCCACCCCACCCCAGCTCAGAAGATTAAGAAAAGTTCTCCCCTGTCTCTGGAATGGAAAAAGTTCCTTCCCCGACCTCCAGACACCGAATTCCGAAGGAATTACCAAATTCCAGCTAAAATTCCCGAGCTTCAGGATTTCAGTTTCAAATATGGATGCTACGCAAGCTTGCCCGTTGCTTCTCGGGGTGTAGGTGAGTACAGCTACAGCTTCTAAAACAGCCTCATAGATCCCAAACCCTGGCTCCAGGACTTCTCAATGCAGAGGGCACTGGTAGCCCATTTGGTAAAAGTCACGGAGAAAGCCGGGGATCCTGGCATAAAATCAGAACCTGGTCACTGCAGCTCCCAACCTGGAACCCAGAGAGCCAGCAGATTTCAGAAGACGACTGACCGCTTACGCCATGAAATGAGTGTGATCCCTGCTGGGAAGGGGCGGTGGTGAGGATTAGGGGCTACTTCCTCCTTATACAACCAGAGGTAGGACACAGTTACTGTAAAGTGCAGAAAGAGCTGAGGCAGGAAACCAGTCTAGTCTCAGTCTCCTACTGGAAGTGTATCCACATGTGCATCCCTCGAAAGTTTCTTAAAATTCCATGACCAAGCCACCTCCATGCTACTAATTGAGCAGAAAAGTTGGTGTCAGTCTGAGACGTGATTCATTCCTAGCATAGAGTTGAGAATAAGTAGCACTTGAGATAATAATCAAAGAATTGACGCTTAGCACCTTGAGTTAGAAGGTAGTCTAGAAATTACCTCATCCAGAGCCTCATGTTGTGAATCCTCCTGACTCCATCCTTGCCAAGGGGCGACACTGCCCCTGCATATCCTCTTCAGGGTAGCCCCATACCCTTCGCGGTCTGTTTAGAAGCTAGAGCAGCTGTAACTCCTGCTGAACTTCTAGCCACTGGTTCCGCTTCTTCCCGTGGATGTTGTTTATTATAAATTTGTTATTCTATGAAAATCTTGTCATATGCCTTCTAAGTCTTTTCCAGTTAAAGTATTTCCAGGCCCTACAAACACTCTTCTCAGGGTATAACATCAAATCCTCTCACCAGTCTGGTCCCTCTATTTGGCCAGTAACATTTTAAAGGGGACACCTGGAGCTGGAAGGTGTTCGTAAGGTTTAAAAATTGGGGCTGGGTGCAGTGGCTCTCACCTGTAATCCCAGCACTGTGGAAGGCAGGGACGGGCGGATCACAAGGTCAAGAGATCAAGACCATCCTGGCTAACATGGTGAAACCCCATCTCTACTGAAAATACAAAAAATTAGCTGGGCGTGGTGGCACACTCATGTAGTCCCAGCTATTCTGGATACTGAGGCAGGAGAATTGCTTGAATCCGGGAGGCAGAGGTTGCAGTAAGCTGAAATTGCACCACTGCACTCCAGCCCGGGTGACAGAGAGAGACTGTGTCCCAAAAAAAGGAAAAAGAAAAAAAGATTGAGCAAGTTGTGAAAATTTGGTTTTTGCATCATGATTTTATTAGTTTTTTCATGATCATTTCTTGAATATCAGAACTCACATAAATGAGCAATATTCATAATCAGATATAAGTGATTTGGGTATTGCCTGCACCTCATACCCCCATCACTCCAAATGGACAATGAGTGATGACTATAAACACCATCATTATTCCAAAACGCTCATCTGAAGATGCCTAGGTCCCTGGAGGGAGGTCCCTGGAGGGAGGTCCCTTACTGTGCCATCCGAAATGTGCGCAGGAGGTGTCCTCAAAGCAAAGGAAACTTCTATGAGGACCTTTGTTAATAAGCAGACAGTGAACATCCCCATCAGAGCCACCAACGGCAAACTTCCTCTTTACCCTCTGAAGGTTTGCTGAAAAATCAACAGAAAAAAGTCAGATTAAAAGGAGAAAAGGCACATAAATTTATTAACATGCATGGGAGTCAAGCAAAATATAAGAACTCAAAGAAGGCCGAGCGCGGTGGCTCACGCCTGTAATCCCAGCACTTTGGGAGGCCAAGGCGGGTGGATGACGAGGTCAAGATATAGAGACCATCCTGGTTAACATGGTGAAACCCTGTCTCTACTAAAGATACAAAAAAAATTAGCTGGGCATGGTGACGCGTGCCTGTAATCCCAGCTACTCAGGAGACTAAGGCAGGAGAACTGCCTGAACCCAGGAGGCAGAGGTTGCAGTGAGCCGAGATTGCGCCATTGCACTCCAGCCTGGGGAACAAGAGAGAAACTCCGTCTCAAAAAAAAAAGAACTCAAAGAAATGACGGGAAGGTTGATGCTTTTATACCATCTTGAGGTTACAGAAAGAGCTGGCTGAACAGGTTATGGGTGGGGGAGCAGAGGAGGCCTGGCTAGCAAAGGCGGTCTTGTTCAATGGTAGCAGCCCCCAGAGAGAATGATGGTAAAGGTTTTAGACCTATGAAGTCCGATCTTAGTTCATGTTTCTTAGATCCAGACAAGGAAAGGCCTTAGAAAGCTGGGCTGCACCAGTGCAGACTCCCTGTGGATGCAGGTCACCCCACTCCCAAAGACAACTTCGCAGAGCTAATGCAGTTGGCAGGATTTTTCAACAGCCTTCTCAAAGTACACCAGAGAAGTGTATTTTGGGGTGAAATACTTCAGTTTCCTTCACCATCATAACACACTGACCTGCATAAGAGTCAAGTTCAGGGAAAACTTCTCTTCTGAAAGTGATGGTCAGACTCACCCTTCCGGTCATTGTCTCCCATCACTGCCACTTTCAGCAGCAACAGGCCGGAAGCCCCCACAGCTCTGCGTAGCCCTAGTCATTGGAAGAATTGATTTAATACAGAGCCTTAGTGTCTAGCATCATGAAGGACGCTGCCTGAGCTCAAAGCTGGGATCAGGGCTGTCAGGGTCATTTTCTTTCTTTGATTTTTTTTTTTTTTTTTTAAGACAGAGTCTTACTCTGTCACCCAGGCTGGAGTGCAGTAGCATGATCTTAGCTCACTGCAACCTCCGCCTCCTGGGTTCAAGTGATTCTTCTGCCTCAGCCTCCCAAATAGCTGGGACTAAAGGTCCGCACTGCTCCACCTGGCTAATTTTTTATTTTTATTTTTTGTATTTTTAGGAGAGATGGGGTTTCACCATATTGGCCAGGCTGGTCTCAAACTCCTGACCTCATAAAGTGCCTGCCTCGGCCTCCCAAAGTGTTGGGATTATAGACGTGAGCCACCGCGCCTGGCCTCAGGGTCATTTTTAAACAGTAAGGGCAAGACTGCTGCGCTTGGGTACCAGCCCCTGAGCCTCTCCTCTCCTGTGCGTTTCTGTAGTGCCCTCTGTGCTGCACAGCTACCTAAGGAACCAAGAGCATATGAAGAAGCAGACCACGTACCAAAGCGACTATGGCAGAACCTACCTGGATTTCATAATGCTTTTAAACTCATTTACTTCCTCTCAAGTCAAAAAGTACCTTCAGAGTGTTTCCTACAAAGGTAAGATGAGGTCTTATTTCATGCGCTTACAATTCATAATACATTACTTTTGCCAAATAGAAACTGTTCCAACTTGTAGCCACTGGAGTTGAATGCCCACAAAAAGGGAAAGCATAGCCTCAAAAATAAAACATCTCAGTGTTGTGCAAACCTCAATGCACTGAAAAGATATTTTCCTTTAAGGAGACCCCAGTGACTATATCCCCACTTATTAAAAAAGAGACATGCAGCTTTTCACTCATTTCTGATCTCATTTTGCCTGCAGTCGAATTGCTCCAGGATGACTCTTCTTTTTCTTAGAGCTAATTGATTTCTCCTCTGGGTGTTCGTATAATCACACTATTTTGCTGTGTTTTGTCTAATCTTTATTTTCTGTTTGCTGGTACATTTTTGTGACCGGCTTTTTAAGGTACAAGAGAATCTCTATATATCACTCTCTCAAAGTGAGCAAATGCCATTGATGTGGCTTCACTCCACATGACAAAGATTTATCCAAGTTTGTAGCCAAATGACTGGAATTGATTTGGGAGCATCTTAGGGCCAACTGGTGAGTTTAACTGAGAGTATATAAAATGTCAACTCAGAGACTAAGAGAGCTTGAGGGAAGGAAACAGAGCTCTTCCTGCAGCTTTCGCTCAGCATCAGACATGAGGGCTCACACCCCCCCATTCCTCCTCATTTGTGAGCACATCACCTAATGCAGTTGTAAAACTTTATATAAAATACATTCATATGCCAACTAAACTAATGTATCACATACATTGCAGAGCATACAAACTGTTTTAGAAGGAAGTAAAAATCAAATAGCAATAGGGGTCTACTGTTTATTTCTGTACCCAAGTGATCGTTTTCTGTACCCCATTTTGTGCTCTAGGCTATTTGGGGGCTGCTGACTTACTGTGTGCTCTGTAATGAGCTTGAGACTTCCACCGGCCATGTGGTTTCCCTCCAAGGGCTCTCTGTCTCTTGTCTGACTCTCCTGGGTCCCCAGCCACAATCAGAAGAGCTTGCACCTCTGAAATCCTCACTGAAACCCTCTTTTTTGGGGGATCTCCTGCCTCAAGAAAAACGAAAATCTTACTGTTGGCAAGGCTGACAGGGAGTGGTGTGTGTGTGTGTGTGTGTGTGTGTGTGTGTGTGTGTGTGTGTAGAAATGAAGTATTTGCCACTGTCACACATTGAGGGCTGAGAACCTAAAGACCCTTCTAAGACCTTGAATGCTGGTTTCAGGGAGGTACAAGAAGCAGGTTAGCCTCCTACTGAGGCAGGAGTATGCATTTTCTGTTGAGAGAAAGGAACAGGGAGGGAGTATGATGCCTCCCTGCTCTCCACAGATGGCTCTGGGCCAGTCTGACACTTCAGAAGGAAGCCAAGAGGCTCCTGGGGGTCCGCTGGCTCAGACTCCCCAGAGGGCCCAGCCAAAGCTCTGCAGCAAGCTCAAGCCTGCCCACCTGTTCTCATGCTCATTTTTGTGTATAAAAGCATCCTCTGCATTTTACAAGGAGCTCTTTTTACCTTTAGGATCCACATCTGTTGGACCCTGTAGAAAGAGGATTTTTGTCTTTCCTAAGCAGATGCTCCCATCTGCCCAGGGACTTGCAATGCAGATGCAGCTGTCACTTCTCTGCCCCCACGGAAACCATGGTGGCTGTAGGCAGCTTTGTCTCTTACTGTGTGTCAGGTGCAATCTAAGTCTTAGTGGCGCCCCGTAAGGTGACCTAGGAACTCCTCAAAGTGCTCTGGCAGCCTTGGATCTACATTCTCCAAGTTACTGGGGTAAGCTGATCTTCCAGGTAAAACACTCTGTCCACCTGATAGGACTTTCCTCCCTAGACAGGTGAGGCATGACCTGTTAGCTAACAAGATAACTTAGAATAAGCTAGGGTTTTGTTTCTTCTTAGCTCTTCTGCTTTCCTGGTTCCCTCAGGGCAGCACCAGGGGCCAGTGCCTGAAGGCTCATGACCCAGACCTTTGCTCTTTGGTGCTGCCTTGGGCTGATGTGAGATCCGCTTCCCATGGGTTTGTACTCCTTTTTCCACGCTCTGCTGTAGAATGACCCACGCTTCACTGCCAGCCTGTTAGAAGCTGACAAACAAATGGAAGGCTTCCCCTGAATTCTTGTGCCCAAAACCTCTTGTCATTTTCTAGTGTCAGGGATGGCACTGATGCTTTTCAGCTGGTGAACATCGCAGCAGAGCTTTTGTGGCTGAGCACATATGCAGATGTGTTAGGCAGAATTATTATCAACTCAGCTTAAATTATTTTACTGGATTATCACTCATAGGTTGTAGGAACTGATGGAATAGGAGCCTAGAACAGGTGCATTTTAGAGAGGGAGAGAGGAAGAGAGGGAGAGATGAAGAGATGGAGAGAGAGAGAGAGAGAATGAGAGAGAGAGAGAGAGAGAAGGGACCAGGCTTGCTCTTATGGACCAAGTTGGGTGGGAGGTGGGGAGGGGGCAGAGAGTTGGTTTGTGTGGTGGGGGGTGAAACACAGTAAAGAGAAAACTCCAATACAACAGAAAATAAAGCTGTGAAAGCATAAAGGAGAGAGAGCTGAAGTCAAACCTTTTTATTTTCACTAACTCTGTGTCACCACTATTTGGTATTCAGCTTATTTATAACTTGAGGAGGTTGAACTATTTATCTTTAGTGGCTATTCTACTCTCAACATTTTTTTAATCTCTGAGTCTGCCTCAGACCACACAGAAGCTTACTCATTGGGCAACTGTTTCCTATTTGTAAAGACTGTGTCAATTGTCCACTTTTCCCCAGTTAAAAGGTAAAATGATCTGAAACCCAGTTTTCTGTGAATTTATTCAGTTATGGCTCCCGCCCTGTCTCTTCCTCCAACTGAAACTCCCACAAATGGCCATGTAAAAGGTATTTCTTCATAGCCTGTGTTTCAACGCTAAGAATCAATTTATTTACCCAATAAATGCTCAGTTGATACAAAGATAAATAAGGAATCCTTCTCAGGGAACTCATTATCGGTAAAGAAGACAGACACATAGTTAAAATGTCACCAGTTCTGTAATCAAAGCAATCTTTGGGTACTCCCAACCCTGTGGGTGGACAGGAGATGAGGAAAGGCTGCCTGGAGGAGGGGTCCTTTAAGTTTTAAAGATGAATCTGCATGACAAGGAGAGGGAGGAGCATTCCTGGCAGAAGCAACAGCATGTACACAATCATGAAGAAATGAATTTGCATTTATACCTAGTAAAGATGGTAGCATTTGACTTACTATTTGTAGCCTTATTGAACAGTTAAGTTGACATTAAATTTTACAGACTCTCATCCTTTTTTACTAATTCATGCAAACCTTGATTAACAGTGTGTGTATATCTCTGGTATGAGAAGAAAGGATTTTTTTCTTATTTTAATATAAATTCTTTGGTAATAGAGACAATGCTTCAAGTAAGAAAGACTGACAATAGCAAATATCAATGAGAGGAAGCAGTCAGAACCCCACACAGCACTGGTGGGTATATTAAAGAATGAAGAGTACAATTATTTTGTTGTTGTGTGTGTGTGTGTGTGTGTGTGTGTGTGTGTGTGTGTGTTTGACAGAATCTCCCTCTGTAGCCCAGGCTGGAGTTCAGTGGCACAATCTCAGCTCATTGCAACCTCTGCTTTGAGGGTTCGAGCAATTCTCATGCCTCAGCTTCCCAAGCAACTGGGATTACAGGTGTGCACCACCACGCCCAGCTAATTTTATTTTATTTTATTTTTTAGTGGACATAAGGTTTTGCCATGTTGGTCAGGCTGGTCTTGAACACCTGGCCTCAAGTGATCTACCTGCTTTGGCCATCCAAAGTGCTGGGATTACAGGCATGCGCCACTGTGCCTGGCTATCGAAGAATCACTTTGGAAACAGGTCTGGCAGCTTCTCCTAAAGTTAAACATATACCTACTCCATAACCCAGAAATTCCACTTCTGGATATGTGCCCAAGAGAAGGAAAACCGTATGTCCACAAAAGGGCATGTACAAGAATGTTTATAATCACTTTATTCTTAATAGCCTCAAACTGGATGCAACCCAAATCTCTATCAGTAGGAAAATGGATAAACAAACTGTGATATATTCACATAATGAAATACCACTCGACAATAAAAAGAAATGAGGTATTGATATATACAATAAAATGCATGAACCTCAAAAACATGCTGAATGAAAGAAGCCAGACACAAAAATACCTTCTGTATGATTTCATTTATTTGAAGATCTACAACAGGGAAAACTCATCTATGATGAAAGAAACCAGAACAGTGGCTGTCTTGGGGTAGGGAGTGTTGATTGGGAAGGAGCATGAAGGGTCTTCTGGGGTGGGAGAAATGATCTATATCATCCTGTGGTCATAGGTTACAGCAATGCATATGTCTCTTCATCAAACTGTACACAAAAGATTAGTGAATTTCACTTTATGAAAAGTATACCCAACTAAAAAAATATTGGAGAGAAGGTATGGAACAGGGTAGGGATGCTTCAGAATTAAACATGAAATCACAAAAACAAATAAATGAAGACATAATTGAAGAGAAAACAGGAACTCACACATGCACACGCACACACACGCATACACACACACACATGCACATACAGACATCCCTGATCTATGGACCTCCACTGGCATTTGGGACGTTGAGCAGAACATGAACATAGAATACGAGCATAACGTCACTTGTATATTCACTCCCTTTTGGATTTGACTGCACAGGTGATAACTGCTGGGAGTGAACAAGTTTTACAGCTCCACTCTGTACTATTAAAAACATCTATGATTAGGGGCTGGGCGCGGTGGCTCCTGCCTGTAACCCCAGCACTTTGGGTGGCCAAGGCAAACAGATTACTTGAGGTCAGGAGTCTGGGATTATACTAAAAATACAATAATTAGTTAGGCATGATGGTGCATGCCTATAATCCCAGCTACTCAAGAGGCTGAGGCAGAATTGCTCGAATCTGGGAGGTAGAGGTTGCAGTGAGCTGAGATAGCACCACTGTACTCCAGCCTGGGCAACAGAGTGAGACGCCATCTAAAAAATATATATATATATGTATATGTATATATTATATATATAATAGATATGTATACATACATATATCATGTATATAATGTATATATATTATATATATTATATATATTATGTGTGTGTATATATATAGATGTGTGTGTGTGTGTGTATATATGACTTGGAATAGGGAATCATAGATGTTCAGAACCAGACAAGACTCCTTCATGTTACAGATCAGGAAATGGAGGCCAGGGAGGGGAGCTGAAGGGCCTTCTCAAGGTCAACATTTACCATTCAAGGACAGCAAAGCTTACCAATGTCGGTGGATACAAAAACAGCCCTGGCTTCTGTGAAATTTGGAACAATAATCTCTATTGTTCATCATCACTGTTTATTACTATGGACCCCGTAATAGAAGGCTAAGATGACTATTTATTGTTTTCGATGGGCCAGGCACTGTCGGGGTGCTTCACACACAGTGTCCCTAATCTATTCCAACATCTGTGCAAGGTGAGTACTGCTGCGTGTATTCAAAGATGAGGACCCAAGGAAGCGGGGAGGCTAAATCATTTGCTAACACTTGCCAACACACAACTGAAACTTAAGCCTCTTTCATTCTAAAATCTGTGTCTGTCCAGTAAATTTGCCAATCCCTTGAATATTAAGTTTACTCTTCTTATTCAATAATTATATAACTGTGCCTATTTAGGTATTAAATATAATAGCTTGTGATTATTTTGGTCTCATCAAATTTGTGTATTTAGTAATACTGTCAAATATTTTCTTCCTAGAATTTCTTAATTTAGCATTTAAATACATGGAAATTTTCATCCTGTTTTTCTTCATTCTTTTCAGATAGACAAATTCTTGATCGCTTTATTTGTGCTCACTGTGACACTAACAAAAAGGAGAAATGAAAAGGGAAAATAGTTCAAATGAAGAAAATCTGAAAATCAATGGAAGCATGAGGACCTTCCTAGTCATTTTCTCAATTATCAACAAAAAATAAGATGCAAATAGCTCCAAATATGTTGTGTTAGCCATGAGTTTGTGTATTTTGCTTTGCATTATTTTTAAATAATAAAATTATTTAAGGCTACAAATTTTCCCCTGAACATAGCTTTAGCTGTATCCAATAGGTTTTGATATAATGTTGTTTTCTTTTCCCTTTTGGATACTGAATTTGTGGTTTCAATTTTGATTTCTCCTGTGAACTAGGAATTATGTGGAAAAGAATTTTAAATTTCCCAATAATTAGAGATTTTAAAAATCATTTTATTGCTTATCTCTTCTTTGAATGAAGGAAAGTTTAAAAATCTGCTTTTGGGAAATTAAAGTTGTATTTAATGCCGTTAATCAAGTATATGATTAATTTGTGTGTTACATGAATATAAGAGGAAAATTACAGTGTATTATATTTTTGAAATCCCTTATATCTTCAATTGTATACTTGGACTGTTCAATTCTGAAAGAATATTGCAACCTCTCACAATAAATATATTTTTATCAATTTCCCTTGTATTTCTGGGGTTTTCTGCTTTCTATATGTGGTTGCTATATTTTGTATTCTGTTAGGGTTTATCACTATACAGAGCTTCTTCATTGGTTAACATTATCCATTAGATATCATCCATCTTCGGCAGTTAATGCTTTTTGGCTTTAAATTGCATTTTAATTGATATTAATGTTGCTGTTGGTGCTGATTTGGTTCTGGTTTTACCTTTGCATTTGCTCAGTATGTCCTTGTCTTCATTTCCAATCTGTCTTTGTAACATTGTTTCAGTATGTTTCTAGAAATAAATTATGCCTGGCTTTTATTTTATGACTAACATGAGGCTGTTTAACTTCAGAGAATTTAGCCAGTACAGAGCAACTGTGATGCTTCACATACCGGGTTTTGTTTTCTGTGTCATTTTTGCTTGCTATTTGCTGTTTTTTCTTTCTAGTTTTACTTTTCCTAATTTTCTTCATTTTCCCCTCTAGTGTTAGTTTTGGAAATATACTGTTTTTCATGATACTAGTAGTTTTTATCACACACAACCACTACAACATTTGGGTTTCTCCCCCAACATATAAAATATAATCTCTATGCTCCCAGGACCTTTTACTTCTCTGTTCCTCCCACGGCTGCTGACTGAGAAGATACTCTTTACTTCCTCATTCCACATTGTACTTTTTACTACGTCCTCTGCTCGTGCTCTTGTGCATGCGTGTGCGTGCACACACACACACACACACACAGCTGCCAGCAGGGCTCATGTGGAGAAAGAGCTCGCCCTCTAGGTTTCCTGTAGCGGCAAGATTTTGTTGCTATTGTTACTCTGGGGTTTGTTTTTTTCTTTTTTGAGCCCTGGTTTGGACCTGTCCTATATCCTGCTTCCATTTTGTACCAAGGCAATCATGTCCCAACCATCCCTGCTTTCGACAGGGTTAGTTTCGACTGATCAGCTGCTCATCTCCCCACCCCAATGTCCTTTGTAGATCTGGGCCAATACTTGAGCATCAAGCTGCTTTATGCCTTTCTTAGAATGCTTGGAACTATCGCAGTGGCCACCCAGGAGCTTTACATGGACTCTTTCTTGGTTTAATGTGTGTAGTGTGGGACTTCCTGACTGTCTGCACAGCATTGATTCCAAAGCAGAGGTCCATACTCCATCAGGGCCCTGAGCCAAATACTAATACATGAGTATCCCTTTGGTCTACAAATATTTATTGAGCACCTACTATGTGCCAGGCAGGGGTTTAGGGATTGGGGATAATCACTAGTGAAAGACAGTAATGGAGTTACCAAGAGGCTCCTATTTGAGCTGAAACTTCAAGAGAAGGAGCCAGCCACATGGAGTGATGGGGGAACACCTTTCCAGGCTTAGAGAACAACAAGGCAAGGGCCCTAAGATAGAAACAATTTTGGTGTTCTAGGAACTGGAAGAAGGTGGAGTGGTTGTCACATACATAGTGAGTTGGCCGGGGACAGGGAAAAGTCACACAGAAAGAGATCAAGGAGGCAAGACTTGGATCAGGGTGTGAGTGCCATTGTATTTCTGATAGCGTAGACTCTTGTATTCTGCGTAACTTTATTTCACAGCAATCAATACAATTCTATTGATTCAAGTTGTGGATCACCCATGAACATTGTTTTTATGCTATTTGTGTTCTTCAAATTTTGGTAGCAAAGTTTTGTGTAAGACTTAAGTTTTTACCTACTGCAGACATGTCTGTGCATGCATCTTAAGTTTTTGACCTATCTCTACACCTTGGGAGTCCCAAATGGGATCCCTGATCTCCCAAATGATTTTTAAAAAATTCACACACAATGAGGTTCACTCTTTGTGCTATAAAGTTCTATGGGTTATGACAAACGCATAGTGCCATGTATCCACCATTACAGTATCACACAGGATACTTTCACTGCCCAAAAAATTCTCCATGGCCACCTGTTCAATTCTCTCCTCCCCTGAAACCCTGATTACTTCTTTGGAGATCATTTTGGTATTCTGGGGGTAGGGCAGGCAAGAAAAGCCAGCATCACCCCTGGGGCAGCCTATTGATGAGTATTGCCATCTGTCTGGACACAATAAGTCATCTTTTTTTTTTTTGAGACAGAGTTTCGTTCTTGTTACTCAGGCTGGAGTGCAATGGCGTGATCTCGGCTCACCACAGCCTCCGCCTCCTGGGTTCAGGCAATTCTCCTGCCTCAGCCTCCTGAGTAGCTGGGATTACAGGCACGTGCCACCATGCCCAGCTAATTTATTTTTGTATTTTTAGTAGACATGGGGTTTCACCGTGTTGACCAGGATGGTCTCGATCTCATGACCTCGTGATCCACCCGCCTCGGCCTCCCAAAGTGCTGGGATTACAGGCTTGAGCCACCGCACCTGGCCCACAAAAAGTCATCTTACCTCCAGAGTTCTAGACCTTGTCAATGACATCACTCTAGAGCAAGACGTTCTACTTGTAAATACACTATTGAGATGTAATCTTCTACAGACTTTTACTTTAAGGATGGAGGTAAGGGGAATTATTGGCCCCAGTCCTTCATCTTTCCCTGTATCCACACCTTTGGCCATGTAACCTTACAGTCCTTCCCACCAAAGATGCAATGTATTTCCCCCACCCTTGAATGTGAGCATGGCCACGTGGTTTTCTTTGGCTAATGGGTTGTTAGAAGAAATAAACCTGGGCTGCTCACTGGTCCCAGGAGAAAAATGATTCACCCCAGCTGACCTGCCTTCGTGACTCACAAACTGTGAGTGAGAAATAAATGCTCTTTGCTGCATGCCAGACACTAATGTAGCAATAGCTGACCGCTACAGGCACAGCGTTTATTTAAATGCAACACTCCTGGGACCCTCAAAATAAGAAAAGGCTTTGTAGAATCAGTTCTTTCTCAAAAATATTAAATTCTGTCACCATCAACAAATAGTGTTTAAAAAGCAATTGCATTTTAAAATAACAGTGTGGTTGAGGTTCTCTTGTATCTTAAAACCTGACAAATGGCAAAGGTGTTTTAAACCTCAAACACTTTAAAGGTTCTCATGAGGCCAGTAGCCACTGCTTATTTTAATGTGCTGGAAGCTGTGAGTGCTTTAATCTGGTTCCTTCTCAGAGAAGATCGGCAAACCCAGATCAGTCATGGACCTGGCATGAGTTAATTATGTGGCACTAGAATTTCAATTATTATATTTGTAAGATAGTAGTTTTTCAACAGTTAATAGTCTCGCAATTTTTTTTTATCTTGTGATATCCCCCAATGGTTCTTTAATTCTCTTTTTATCTTCCTGAAAAACTTACCCTTGTTAGGGGAGCTCTGGAGTGTTGATTTTTTTCTCGCTAGAAACCTCTGTGGCCACAGCACCTTTGCCCGAATTCTTATTCTGTGTCCAGGAACAATGAGGTACACAAGTGAAGGGCGAAGAAGAGTTTAATTATTTAGTGTTAGAACCGTCTCAGAGGAGTAGTTAGCGTCTCTCTGATGGCAGGTCGTCTCTGCAGCTCTCAGTGGAAAGGATACTCCTCTGCAGCTGGTCTTCTGGTCCCATGATCTCCCTGCCCTCTTTGTCCTCTGGCGGTCCTCTGCCCTGCTCTGGCTGAACCCAGGGCTTTTATGGACCTCAGAAGGGAGGAAATGCATGCCAGTTAGCCCATGAGCAGCCATGGGTGGGCCTGGAAGAGGCACACGAGTTCCCAGTCCAATCCATGGGAGTGGCAGCCCATCCCCTATTCTTCAGGCTCTTCATGGCCTGCGGGTGGGGCCTTACTGGGGACCCACTTCCTTCTGCCCAGTACTCTGTCAGCCTCCTGCTGGGACTTGGTCCCAACTCCTCTGGGAGATTGAAGCGGGTGCTGGGAGCAGAGAGAAGCCAAGCAGTGGGAGCAGACACCCCTGAGGCTGCAGGAACAGGGGTCCTTCCTGGGGCACCCAAGGGTGTAGGCTGCAGAGATGCCTAGGTCCCGTGCTTGGGAGGGCAGCACAGCGGCAGCCGGGAGCTCCCACCCCCTCAACTCAGAAGAGGCAAGGCTCCCATTTGTCCTCAGCTCCCCTTCCTGGAGTGAGGCGGTTTTATCTGCACCTGGGAAGGCAGATCCTGCCTGTTCCAGGTTCTCCCAAGAGCACAGGGAGGCTTAAATCTACAGCTGCAGTTCGGGCAGCTGTAGCCTCACCCAGTAGGGTGGGGCTCCTTCCTGCTCCCTAGAGCAGGAGGCCTGGCTCTGCAGCTGTGGTTTAGGTGGCTGTAACTGCATGGGGAACTCGTGTCCCATCTCAGAAAGGGCAGGGCTCCCACTGACTCCAGGAAGTGTGCAGCCCCAGCTGTGCTTCCCTGCTGCAGCCAGCATGATGGCAGCAGCCACTGCCATCACCCTTGCACACACCTTATTCAAAAACAAAGTATATATGGTGGATTTGTATGCTTTCTAGAAATATCTGTTCTTTGTTTTAAACATTTACAGTTATGTAAATGTGTTTAAAATTGTTCTACTTTGTTTAAAAATGCTTTTGTGATAAGTAAAAAACAACATTCCTTTAGAGTGAAGACTGCAATAATTTGCAAGAAAGTAAGAAATAGAACACAGGTTGTAGGAAGTTGTTTTCATCACGTGTTAGAATTCTCCTTTCTGCACAGGCGGTGTATGAGGCTGGAGCGGTGCTTATCAGCCTCGGCTGCCCGATCGAATGACCTGGAGAGATTTTTCAAATCTGACACCCAGGCCACTTTTCCAGACCAATTACCGCAGAACTTCTGGGGACAGATCATAGGTGCTAAAGCTCCCCAGGTGATCCCCACGCACAGCAAAGACTGAGAACCACTGAACTAGACAGGGGATCTAATTGGTAAATTGCACCTGCGAAGGTTAAGTTAGTAGTTTAGTCAAGATCTAAGCAGGAAGCAGAATCCACCCCCACTGTTTTCAGATGATGGGGCTTAAATAAAGGGACTACTTACTGAGCACATAAACATGGGGTAAGGCTCCCAGAGACTGGTGAGAGAAGGAAGCTGTTACCACCTCTCCCT